CAATGAGTCTTGAACACAGCTGTCAGTTTTTAAATGAAGGTTTTTATTATTAAAATTGTTGTAATTCAGCCACATTGGAGGGTATTCTAGCATGAACCGCCTTTTTAAGGTCATGCCACAGCATCTCAATAGGATATATATATATATAACATTTATGTTATATATATATATAACATTTATGTCCCCCTCACTTCTGAAATGATGGCTACGCCCCTGAACTAAAGGACTCATACACAAATATTACAAGAGGTGAAAATATTACTGATGCTCAAGAAGGAAACAGGATGCATTAAGAGCCAGAGGGTTTACATTTTTGAACCAGATGATGATGTGTAAATTTAGTTTAAAGATCATATTTTTTTTCATTTAGTACTACACTTCAGTAGCTATAAATAATTGCATGTTTCCCAAAAGACAAAATATGTACAATTTACCCTAATCATCCATTTCAAAAAGTTTCCACCCTCTGGCTCTTAATGCTTTGTGTTTCCTTCTTAAGCATCAGAAAATGTTTTCACCTTTTTGTACTAGTTGTGTACGATTCCCTCAATTGTCCTCAGTGTAAAAGATGGATCTCAAAATCATAAAGTCACTGTTGGAAAGAGTTCACATATGCAGAAGATGCTGGAAAACCAAAGAATGTGTAGGAGCGGGAGAATTTTTATGAAGAATAGCAGGCAGTTGTACTGCTCAGGACAAAAAAGGGACTGATGAACAACTATCACAAAACATAAAAACAGTCGTGGATCACCCAGGAAACAACAGTATTAACCTCCTGGGGTCGACGGTGGCACCACTTGCGGATTTTAATGATAACAGCGAAAATAACTTAAAATGCTCCGTCATATTTGATTGTACATATAAGAGTAATACATCATTTAAATCTGTAAAGGGTCTACTTTTATTTGTGTACACTCACAATATCAACAAAACATTGTGCTTTTGTAAAGTAAAGAAAATAAGCAGGGTGTGCTTTCAGCCAGGAAACACAGTATTGAGATTCAAGGGTATGTAAACTTTTGAACGGTTCATTTTTATAAATTCAGTTATTATTTTGTCTTGTGGAGAATATATAAACATCTGTTATGTGAAATAGCTTATTCAGGACAGTACTCAATACAAAATAACAAGCAATTTTCATGGTCCCTCGTATTTTGCTAAAATTCTTAAAGGGGTCATATGATGCGATTTCAAGTTTTCCTTTCTCTTTGGAGTGTTACAAGCTGTTCGTGCATAGATAATATCCCTGAAGTTGCAAAGACTAAAGTCTCAAAACCAAAGAGATATTCTTTATCAAAGTTAAGACTCTGCCACGCCCCCCTAAAACAGCTCGTTTTAACACGCCCCCACATATCTACCTCACTATGTGGAAATATTAGCATAATGCCACCCAAATGTTCACGCAAAGAAAGAAGGCGTGGTTTCAGTAACCGCAGTTAGTGTTGATGGAGCCATGTCAGGGAGACGCTGTGTGTTTCTAGGCGAAAGCAAAAGCACTTTATTTGGCCTTCCGAAAGTAGATGCATTAAGATTACTTACAACAGAACAGCAATGCATTTTATGGACGACCGTTTCGTTTCATGAACACTGCACGATACACACTGCATGACTTTACAAGGAAGAATCGCCGACAGCTCTGTCTGGTGCAGGGTTATCAGGTTTTCGCTACAATTACTACTCAGAACTAGCCTGAAAATAGCCTAATTGCTTTCGAGGGGGTCCCCCAGTAAAAATCGCATTCAGGGGGGTAAAATAATTTTTTTTTGGCAGGTTCTCCTGGTACAATTCACATTCCAGGGCCTAAATATCACGTTATTGGAGTCGCTTCAACCTGCTGACAACCGGCGGCAATCGCAGATTTGGCAACACTGGTCCTCAAACAACGTTTCATATAACTCCTCCCCGAACTTCCCGCTGCCCTGTATCTTGTTCTCTCATTGGCTGTAGTAATTGCCGATGTGTTTTTCAGTCAGAACTCATTTCACACAGCGTGATTGTGAATCGCTGACAGCTCCAGATTTAGCATGCCAAATATTTCAATATCTTTGTGATTGTCACTCATGTGAACGATTTCGAGCATTTGTCGGTGATTTCGCAAAACCTTTCGGCGAGTGAAAAATTGGGCTAAAATCGTGCAGTGTGAACTCGGTATTAGGCTGGCCACAATAAAAGGCCACTCTAAAATGTGCAGTTTTATCACAGCACAATGCCACAGATGTCGCAAATTTTGAGGGAGCGTGTAATTGGCATGCTGACTGCCGGAATGTCCACCAGACCTGTTGCCTGTGAATTGAATGTTCATTTCGCTACAATAAGCCGTCTCCAAAGGCGTTTCAGAGAATTTGGCAGTACATTCAACCGGCCTCACAACCGCAGACCACGTGTAACCACACCAGCCCAGGACCTCCACATCCAGCATCTTCACGTCCAAGATCGTCTGAGACCAGCCACCCGGACAGCTGCTGCAACAGCCAGTTTGCATAACTAAAGAATTTCTGCACAAACTGTCAGAAACCATCTCAGGGAAGCACATCTGCATGCTCGTCGTCCTCATCGGGGTGTCGACCTGACTGCAGTAACCGACTTGAGTGGGCAAATGCTCACATTCGATGGCGTCTGCGGCACTTTGGAGAGGTGTTCTCTTCACGGATGAATCCCGGTTTTCACTGTATTTTTTATTTTTGGAAAGAAATTATAGAAATATAGAAGATGCTTCAAATTGATCAAAAGTGATGATAAAGATATTTATAATGCTACAAAAGATACATTTCAGATAAATGCTGTTCCTCTGAACTTTCTATTCATCAAAGAAACATGAAAAAAATTATACTCAGCTGTTTTCAACATAATAATAATAAATGTGTTTTGAGCAGCAAATCATGAAATTAGAATGATTTCTGAAGGATGCTGTGACTGGAGTAATGATGCTAAAAAATCAGCTTTGAAATCACAGGAATAAAATACATTTTAAAATATAATCAAATAGAAAACAGTTATTCTAAATAGAGGTTGACCGATGTATCGGTTTTGCCGATTAATCGGCACC